GATACAAGTTTGGTTGTCACTTACCTGTGAAGTTGCTGCGCAGTCCAGTCCACGAAGAAGAAAGACAGCGGCCATAGCCGCAGAGCTGGCACCACGGAGTGACGAAGTAGGAAGGAGAAGGACAGAGGGGGAGAGACCGAGCAGGGAGACAAGGGGCCATAGCTAAGAGGTGAAGAGGAGGCCGACAAAAAAAAAGAAAAAAAGAAAAAAAAGAGAAAGAGAAAGAAGCAGACAGCGGGAGAAAGGAGGCGAGGGAGGTAAGGAAGAAGAAGGGGATTGGCGAGGAAGAAGTGCGACAGCCATAGCTGACCGGGGAGTTGACCGAGAGGGTTGACTGGAAGCGTTGACCGGAGTTGACCGGGGGTTGACCAAGGATCATAGCAGCGTTGACCGGCGTTGACCAAGGCAGTTGACCAAGACTTTGACCAAGCTGGAGTTGGTAACATCTCGCCAAGCCCTTAGCCTACCCCTTGCCCTATGGATGTGCACATACCCCTTGGTACTTGCTGAGTATAGTCTGTCTGTCTATTCTTTCTGCATTGAGTCTCTTCTGTCCTAGGTCATAGAACTCTGTGGATGAAGGATAGGGCCTTGCTGCCAAACCTGCACGGGACTTAGTAGGACTAATCTCTACTCTGGTATCTGGAGACCTGGGCATGAGCGGCGAGCGCTCGTTAAACAACTCGTCTAGCCCAATGACCGGTACTGTCCGGCAGGTCTGCTCAGTTTTAGTGTAGAGGGTCTGAACTCCGAGCTGCAGGCTGAAACGGAGGCCGTCTTTAAGTGTTGAGGGCCTGTTGGAACCATTCCCCTACCGGACCAAGTAAGGCTGAGGATCTGTGTCTGACGACTCGACTGTCCCGGAGGTCAAACCCTCCCAAGGACCGGTACAGACCGGCGGGCTGCTCGGTGTGGCACAGTAGGCTGGAAAGGCTGAGTTGTGGGCTGAAAGCACAGGCAGAACCAAGCTGATCACGTCGTCCTGTCTGCGACGTTAAAGAATTCTTGAGGAGTTATGGGGGATCTCCTTAAATGCCTCCTGATCAGCCACTGGTTCAGTAGTGACAGCCATAGTATAGGTCTAGGCTAGAGATCCTAGTTGGCAGGATCCCTATCAGGATTCTGTGAGTCACTAGATTGAGTCAATAGGTTTATCAGTCAGGGGTCAGAGTCCACGTGGTGAGGTTTGGAACCACTAACCCGGTTGTACACTTATCACCATGGTTGAGACCCGTACTGGGTTAGAGACTAACCCCTATAGCCAGGAGCAGCAAGAAAAGTTGGCCGCCTTAGTCAGAGAGAACAAGGAGAGAAAAGAGCGCGAGAAGCAGGCGAAGCTAAAGGCTGTCGCAGACGAACAGGCGGCGAAGATGAAGAGGTTGGAGGAGGAGATGAAGAAGGTACAACAGGAGGAGGAAGAAAGAAGGAAGGCTGCAGAAGCAGAAGCGGCAGCAAAAGAAGAGAAAGAGAGAATGAGAATTGAGAGTAGAGAAGGGAGTAGTGGCGGTTCGATGAAGTGGGAGACAGATACTGAGCTGGAGAAGAAGATCAGCGAGTGGGTCGCTAATTTATCGTTGGGGGAAGACGAGGAGGAGGAGTCCTATGTAACTAGGGATGAGAAGGCTGCGCTAGCCGCTGAGCTAGCAACCATGACAGACCCGATGGAACGAAGAGAGAGGGAAGAGGAGCAAAAGTTAGCATGGAAGTTGAGAATGAAGAGGGAGAAGAAGAGGAGGAGGGAGGAAGTGAATAAGATGATCGCATCAGTGGCAAAGGTGCAGGAGTGTAGAGCGGAGGTGCTGGCCCAGCCAGATGACAAGGCCAAGTGGGATAAAGTACTGGGCTATCTAGAGGTGTTAAGCAAGGCCTGGATGGAGGAGCGCCAGGCAAGTTGGAGCCAGGATGTAGCATTGAGTGCCATGCGGTCCGGGTTCAGGGATTTTGCGCGCGAAATCGTCACCCACATTGGGGGCGAAGTCAAACAGTTGAGGGACAATGTAGGGAAGATTTGTGAGGGCGTTATTCAGGGTGCCAAAGCTGCAGCCGCTGTAGAAGGAGAGGGCAGACCGCGTAAGGACCCAGTGAAGCTTAAGTTCCCAGACGCGTACGGGGGAAAGAAGGACGAGAACTTTGACAACTGGGAGGCCAGTGTCAATAGTTACATTTATTTACAGCATATCCTGATAGAGGAGCAAGTCCTCGTGGCCTTCCAGGCCCTCAAGGATGAAGCGGCTAGTTTCACTAGGTCCCTTGCGCGCGCGGCCGGTTGTGAGAACAACCTGGTGGCTTACTCTAAAGTCACCCCCCTTTCCCAATTCCTCAAGCTCCTCAAGGAGCGGTTCGCTGACCCAACGAGAAGCCTTCGTGCCTCTGATAAGTTACAGACAATCCACTCACGACAGTGGAGGAGTGCAAGGGCACTCAAGGGCGTTATGGACGACCTGGTGGCCGTCCCAAACCATGGGGTCACTGAAACCCAATTGGTTCAACTGTTTTATCGTGCCATGCCAGAGCCCCTGAGAGGGCACTTCTTTGATAAGACCGAGCAGGCCGGCATCACGTATGACGCATTAAGTAGAGAAGTAGTCCTGTTCGAGTCCAAGTCCCTGCCAGTTACCACTTTCTGGCACAAGGACTTAGAGAAAGGGAAGAAGTGGAAGAACCACACCATCTCAGGCCAAGTCAAGGCCAAGGACCACCTAATCCTAACATTAGAAGAAGGTGGTACTGACGAGGTCCCATATGAGCAGATAGAGTGGGGCCTTGAGGAGGAGAACAGTAGCTTGGGACAGGGGAGGTCTTACGCTGCTGCCGCGGTCGGAGGGAGGCTGCAAGGTAGAGGAGGAGGCCAGGGCCAAAGGGGCCAGGCCATGGGAGGCTGAGGACCGGGCGCGCAGGGGGTTGGCGGCCAAGGAAACCGCCAAGCGGGAGGTAGGGGTCAAGGTCCCCCGTCAAATCGCCAAGGTTCTTTCCGGTCCCCACAACGAGGAGGTGGAAGGGCACCTCAAGGAGGATGGCACCCAGGCTTGCCACAGGGCAGGCCCTGCGAAGATTTGGGTTTGGACCAGCGTATATGGCAACAACGCGTGGACCAGGGTCAGTGCGTGTTTTGTGGTGACCCGGCCCACGTAATTAAATTTTGTCCAAAGTATAGACAGGCCTGTTGGGCTGCTCAACAGGCAAAAGGCAGCCACCAGTAGGGGTCGCAACTGCCCCTACTTCCAGGCCATGTGGAGAAGTGAGCACGCACGAACAAGACACTCCCAACCGGCATGAGCCTATGGTAGAGGTTGCAGGCCCGTGCCTAGATAGCTGTCCAGAGACCGCCTGTGTTAGCGTCTCTTTAGGCACGTCCCTCACAGGCGTGGCAAAAGAGTTAAAGGAGAGGATGCCAGCCTGGGCCAAAATGAAGAAGGAGAGTAAAGGACAACTGATTTTGGTAGATGTAGAGGTGTTTAGGAGTAGAGTAGGGGCCCTTATAGACTCAGGGGCTACCCGTAGTTATATCAGCCGTAGGGCGCTGAAGAAGTTGAGGCTAGGACTAAAGGTCGAGAAGTTAGTAGTCCCTATAGTCAGTGTCCTCGCAGACAACCGCACGATGCGCGTTGAGGACTATGTAGAGGGACTCCAGGCGTACTTTCGCCTAGAGAAGGATGGGAAGGTGGAGAAAGTTCTCCATTCCCTGACTCTCCTCGTACAAGATGACCTTCCTTTTGATGTAGTATTATGAATGGATTGGGGAGAGGCAGCAGGGGCCACACTCCAGTTGAGAGAGCATGAGTGTAGGCTCCCTAGCCCGTCAGGCGAAGTTAAGACTGCTCGCCTGTTCCATGTGTCCGGTGTAGATAACACCTTGGCGCATTGCTGTCTCAGTGCTCCCGCGTTCGCGCGAATAGTAAGAAAGGAGCAGTTAGAGGAACAGGTCTTTGTGGTGTATGTTAGACCTGTCACTGAGGGCCAGGAAAAGGATAGTTCCACAGATCCAACAATTGCCAAGCTGCTGGAAGAGTTCAAGGATTTGACTGAGTCGCCGACAGGAGTAGTGCCGCGACCCATCCAGCACAGGATAGAGATAGAGCCTGGCAGTAGAACTCCTAAGGGTGCAGTCTACAAGATGTCCCTTAGAGAGTTAGAGGAGCTTCACAAGCAATTAGACGAACTCCTTGAGAAGGGTTGGATCAGGCCTAGTTCGTTTCCTTTTGGAGCACCAGTTTTGTTTGTCCCCAAGAAGGAAGGAGAGCTTCGTATGTGTATAGACTATAGGGGTTTGAATGCGATCACAGTAAAGAATGCGGAGCCGCTGCCCAGAATAGACGATCTTCTAGATCGGGTGCAGGGTTGTAAGTATTTCTCTAAGATAGACCTGAAGTCCGAATACCATCAGATAGAAGTTCATCCTGATGATCAGTACAAGACTGCGTTCCGGACTAGATACGGGCACTATGAGTTCATAGTGATGCCCTTTGGACTAACCAACGCGCCAGCTACCTTCCAGCGTTGTATGAATGACCTGTTCACACCGTGGTTAGATAAGTTCGTAGTAGTTTATCTAGATGCTATCTTAGTTTTCAGTAAGACCCTCCAGGAGCACCAGCTTAGAGAGGCTAACTTCAAGATCAACGCGAAGAAGTGTGAGTGGGCCAAGACACAAGTCCTGTACTTGGGCCACGTATTAGACGGAGATGGCATCAAGCCAGAGGACAACAAGATAGCGGCGATTAGAGATTGGCCGACGCCCCGCACATTGACAGAGTTGCGGTCGTTCCTAGGCTTAGTTAACTATTATAGGAAGTTCGTGAGGAACTTCTCCACTATCGCCGCTCCCTTGCGCAGGTTGCTGAAGAAAGAGGCAATCTGGCAATGGGACAAAGACTGTACATCTGCGCTCAAGAAGCTAAAGCGCGCGTTAATAGAGTATCCTGTCCTCAAAGTTGCAGATCCATCTTTACCATTTGTCGTCACCACGGACGCGAGTCAGTATGGGATAGGCGCCGTGTTACAGCAAGATGACGACCATGGCTATAGACCCGTAGAGTTCATGTCAGCGAGGATGCCCTGTGAGAAGGTTGCTACCTCCACGTACAAGAGAGAACTCTACGCTCTCAGGCAGGCTTTAGACCATTGGAAGCATTACCTGCTTGGGAGGCACTTCAAAGTGTATTCGGACCACGAAACGCTTAGATGGTTAAAGACTCAGGCCAAGATGACACCTAAGTTGACTAGGTGGGCTGCAAAGATAGACCAATTTGACTTTGAGCTCAAGCCAGTGAAGGGCAAGTACAACGTAGTTGCGGATGCTCTGAGTAGGAGATCAGACTACTTCGGAGTTGTAGTACACTATCTGGATATAGGGAGAGACCTGCAGGAGAAAGTAAGGCAAGCATATGCGCAGGACCCTATCTATAGCGACCTCCTAAAGAGAGTTAGAGAGGCCCCAGAGACTGAACCAGACTACCACACTACAGACGGGTTGCTGTTTGAGAAGACTAATGTGTTTGACCGCCTATGCGTTCCCAACAGCGAAGAGATCCGCAGTTTGATTTTAGGGGAATGCCACGATACTGAAGGGCATTTCGGTTGGCAAAAGACATTAGCCAACCTGATGCGTGCGTATACCTGGCCAGGGATGAAGAACGACTGCATAGAGTATGTCCGCAATTGTAAAGTATGTCAGAGGAACAAGTCTACTACACGCGCGCCCCTAGGTCTTCTCAGACCCTTGCCTATTTCGGATCAGCCGGGAGACTCAGTGTCTATAGACTTCATGGACACGCAAGTCAAGAGCAGACATGGTAAGAGCCAAGTCATGGTCATAGTCGACCGTTTTAGTAAGTATGCAGTTTTTGTTCCCTTCCCTGCAGAGGCACGTACAAATTTAGTAATACAGAAGTTCTTTGACTTTTGGGTTAGTGAGAATGGTATCTTATTGTCAATAGTTAGTGATCGAGATAGTCGTTTCACCAGCCAGAACTGGCAAGAACTCATGAGAGTCTAYGGGTCTAAGTTATTAATGTCGTCCGGCCGTCACCCAGAGACTAACGGTCAGACAGAACAGATGAACAAGATCCTACAACAAGTTCTGCGCATGTATATTAGGCCAGATCAGATCAACTGGGATGAGATGTTGCCCAAGGTCGCAAGTGCATACAACAACAGCGTGCACCTATCCACCTGCCGCACTCCCAATGAGTTGCACAAGTCCTTTAGACCGCGCAGACCGTTCGAAGGACTGAACCGGGATCAGATTCACAGATTACTGCCCGGTACCAAAGAGTTTGCGATACAGCACGAAAAGGAGTTAGCCACTGTTGTTGAGAACCTTCGGAAGGCCCAGCACAGAATGATAGAGCAGGCAAACAAGCACCGTCGCCCATCACAGTTTCAAGTAGGCGACTTAGTCTGGGTCAAGGCAAAAGAATTTGCACCGGAAGAAAACATCTCACAGAAGTTACTGCCCGCATATAGAGGACCGTGGCCGGTTCTAGAAGTCAAAGGCGGAGAGGATGGACCGGCCTACAGCATTGAGATTCCAGCACACCTCCACACATACCCTGTGTTTCATGCTTCAAAGCTGCTGCCATGTGTCACTAGTCAACAGTTCCCTTCCAGGAGATCCATGATCCCACCGGATATGGATGGAAGTTATGACATAGAGGGCATTGTAGAAGAGGATGTGTTTAGGACAGGAGGTAGAGGTCGTCCCCAGAAACAGTATAAAGTCCGGTTTGCTTATCAGGAACCGGAAGACGACCGCTGGTTCACAAAGACAGAACTTCTAGAGACCGCTCCCGACATAGTCAGAGCCTATGAACGTGAGAAGAAAGGTAAAGGTCTCGCCTTGGACTGAGATGTTCTCGGAGGACCTCGAATTTAGGACGGCGGGAGTGAAACGGTTTTCACCTTTAGCAGTAGCGGATGAAGTGCCCAGGGTTCGATCCCTAAACCTCACCTTACCCATGTACAGTATCTGTGTGGACCCCGGGAGTTGAACCTGTGACCTGTGTATTCGTAGACAGCTGGTAGGTCTGTCGTAGGTCCAGAGGCAGCAGGGGTTCGATCTGTAGATCTGTAGCGTAGAAGTCTTAGTGAGTCGGGAAGCCTAGCTGTAGGCCTTCTAGAAGGTAGGCAAGTGGGCAAGTGGTCAAGTGGCGAGGCAAGTGGTGGACTAAACCGCAGTGCAACAGCAGTACAACGTCGGTAGGATGGCGGTGAGTCCACAGTCAGTCAGCAGAAGGTCCAGTCAGTCCCAGTTCGGTCCAGCAAGTACCACAGGGGGACTGTAAGCACCATGGGCCGATGGCAAAGGGCAGACCAACGAGTTTCTGAAGTATAAATCAAGAGGCAGCGCCCTATATTCTTTGTTTTAGAGAGGAGGAGTTAGTATAGTGATAGGTTAGAGGAAGCCATAGCTGCCATAGCTGTAGYTAGTAGAGAGAGTGTGTGCGTGTGTTGAGTGTTCAGAGTGATGCGTGTGGGATATCCAGGGTGATCCAGTGTGTGTAAACAGTAAGTTGTTTGGGCGCTGAAGTCGCCATAGCCAATTGAGAGTGAACTCATATCTGAAGCCATATCTCTGAGTTTTGTGTGGGCACATGTCGCCAGTTGGATGCGGTGCTGTTTACATGCATGCTAAGTGTGTTTGGGAACGAGTCTGATTGCATTATCCTTTAATTACTCTTTTGTGCGAGGATTTTACCCCTCGGCATACCGGCATAAGGCCCCTGCAGCAAACGCATGCCCACCCTGAGTGAAGGCGGCCCCCCGAATCTCAATGAGCCCTGAATTTGTCAAGTTTTGTAAATCTTGACGGGCGCCAGACAGTTGCCACGCCAGTTGGTTACATCCGCCTTGCTTGTGAGAATCAGAAATATTCGTGAGCCTTCCACGCTCTTCCAGCATCGTGGCGAAAGCAGGGAACACCGCACGTTTGTGCCGGGGTGGTTGGGCATGCCTAACCAATTGGGTCCCAGGCCACCACTGTCTGAACGGGCCTGGTCACAGACACTTTGGCCGAGACTGAAGCTACGGGAAACTCGGCCTCACGGGGCAAGCGGAAGGCAACGCGCCCCGCCACTTTCCATATAGGAAAGGGCTGGGCTACGGGAGAAGCATTCGGGCACTTGGAAGAGCGGGCGGCAGCGCTGCTGGAGCTTACCCTCACGCGTTGCTGCTAGCGTCGGTGCGGATACAGGAGCGCGGTCATGGGGTAGAAGGGCGCTGCAAAGTGGCACACCATAGCTGACCCCCCATAGCTGGGCTAGCTTGGAAGATAGTCAGCGGGTGGTGGTGGTCTTCGTGCATGAGGAAGAAGACATGGGTGTAGAAGACGAGGGGGAGAGAGAGAGAGAGATGAGGATGATGATGGGTCCTTGGCGATGGTCTACAGGGTTGACGTCTTCATGTATTTCAGTTGTTGCTGCTGACGTCAACAGGTTGCATTGTCAATTCCTATAGGCTGGTAGTGGCTGTGTGATCGTAGTCTGGGCGCTGAGCGCCAAGTAGGAGGAAGGGCTCTGGGCCCAGACTATTGGTGGTGGCGAGAGTATGCTCTCGTTGACATTTGGATTCGGTGCTTTGGTTCTCCATTGGTGGAATTTCAGTGCATATCTGCTTTGTGGACGGCGTTCGACTTTCGGGCTTTCATTGTGATTTTGCATTCTGCAATTCTGTCATTTCACTATCGCTCATGTTCCTTGCATTTGTTTTGTGAAACTGAAATAGTGTCTCTTAGAGACTGCCTGGGGCATCAATTAGGCAATGCAAAAGTTAGGTGTTTTGGTGAAAACAGTAAAATACAATATAAAGTTATTATAAACTATATAATAATAGAAGGATACCAGTATGGTAATTACTAATTACTAATTACCAATTACAGGTGAACCGATTTGGCAGACAGCGACACTTCAAGGAGTCAAGGCAGCCACATACTTCTGGTACATGCATGCATATATATGCCTTCTCTTAGTTCTCTGTACCTGACCGCCCCTGCACTCCCCCCACCCCCCTCCCCACCCACGTACTTCTGGTACATGCATGCATATGCCTTCCCTTAGTTCTCTGT